CGATCAGTAACTAGTCGAACTTCCACCGCTCCCTATTCCCAAGTTCACGGGTGACATCTGGGATTTCGACAACTTTTGGGAGCTGTTCAATGTTAACGTTCACTCGAGGGGATTACCTGAGCTTTTCAAGTTCAACTATTTACTGAACGCCCTCGAAGGGGAGGCTAAGGAGTCCGTGAAGAAGTTCCAAGTTACCCCTGAAAACTACTCCCATGCAATCAAGTTCCTTCACGCACGGTACGGCAATCCAGAGGAATTGATCCAGAAACTCATCGACAAACTTGACCATTACAAATTACGAAGTGAATCCCTCAAGGACCAACGCACACTCTTCGAACAAGTGCAAGTAACAGTCCTGCAACTAAAGCAAAAGGGAGAACACGTAGACAATCAAGTCATGGTCAAGAAAGTGTTGAGCAAATTTCCTGCACATATCCAGAGGAGAGTGCTAGCGAAGAGACGTACACTTCCATCGATTACTTCATCCACAATGGAAACACTGTTTAACATAGTCGAAGACGTCTTGTCCGAGGAAGAAATGATGAACCTCTACGTCAAGGAACCAATGTCCACGTCACAGATAACATCCGCCAAAGAGTTCCGAAAACAGGAGAGTCTCTGCATGTACTGCGAAGGCATACATAAGTCATCTCATTGCGATACATATAAGACCCCGAGAGAAAGAACAAAGTACTTACGAGACCGTCGTCTTTGTCAACTCTGCGCATCACCACAGCACAAGACATCTGAATGCAAACGTAAGAATTGTTTCCGATGCGGAGGACCTCACCATTCATCATGTTGCTTCAAGATCCACGTCAACATCAAACAACACCCAAGAAGTGAAGGAACAAGTGGTGCCGGCGGTACGAACAGACAACAAAGTGAAGAAGCAAGTCAAGAAAACTCAGAAAGTCAACGTGGTGGCCGAAAAAGAGCAAGTGGAGGAAGGCGAATCACCCATTCTCGAAGTTCAAGCAGCGCAGGAAATCCAGCACTATTCGACGACAGTCCTTCCCATAGGAGAAGTCATGGTCATGGATAACAAGAGAGGCGATCACCGCAGGGTCCCGGTACTTCTAGACACAGGAGCAGAAATTTCGTTCATCGACAGAACACTTGCCGACGAGCTTGAACTCGAAACAATCTCGGAGAAAACGCTCTTGCTGCACACGTTCGGTTCTGAAGAAATTCAAAAGAAGAAGTGCCGCATTGTACGCGTACAAGTTCAGGATGTCGAAGGAAGACCTCATGAACTGGAATTAACAACACATGAGATTCTGATCAAACCACTTCGCACTCCCCCACTGCTTCAAGAAGATACAGAGTTCCTGAAGTCATTGAACATTTCAGTTTACCATAGATGGAAGGAT